AGCCACACATGGCATGTGTAACTCTCTCATAAGTTGCGTTAGGCCCGATAAAAACCAGTTTAGCGTCCACTTCTAGCCCACCCTATCCCCTTAGCAACCCCTGCGGCGACCCAAGTAGGCTCCCAGAAGGGGTCGGAGTGGATGGGGTCGGAGGATCGCGCCGCATCGGCGATGCATCGGCGATGCGGTTCGTTATGGGCCCCGATTTCTTCACGCCGACGTCGACGGTGCATCGGCGATGCAGCGCCAATGTATCCGCGATGCAGCGAGATCCTCCGACCCCATCTACTCGGACCCCGTCCAGGAGGCCTCCACAGGGGTAGCTACAGATTCGCGCCTCGGGGGCCAAACCGGAGTTACTGCGGACCGCAGTTATCCCGGGGTACTCGGGCGTCCAATTTTCCCGAGTCAGCGGGCAGGGGTCGCCATGGGGGGAACAGGTCCTGATGAAAAACGGGTCGTGCGGCTTCTCCCCGCTGTCGAGCTCTCGGGGCCGGGCCCCAGGACCGTCAGAAAACGACTCAGGATGACGAGCTGGTCCTGGGGGAAGGCCTCGGCCCTGCCAGGTCAAGGGTAGGTAGTGCCCTTTGTGTCCTCTGTTCTCCGCGGCCGACGCCTTTGCTTTCCCACGGGCCCTCTGCAATCAACCCCGACTGCTGGGGGAGGGGGGACGGCTGCTTCGAAGAAAGCTGCATCTTAGGAGGCGCGGGCCTTGTCTATAGATGTACAAGCCGGCGCCTTCTGAGAATCAGCCTCTTTCTGAGAAGCCTTCCAACCTCCCCCCTTTCTCCTGTGCGCGCCGCCGAGCATGGTGACCATCATCGACACCACACGCCTGGCGGCCTCTACAGTCTTAGATGAAAAAACTGCGTAAATAGAAACTGTCGGCGCTCCGCGAGGAATTTCTTGGATCGGCGCTGGGCTCCCCTGGTGGCACTTCTGGCGCCGCCCCTGGCGCGCTCCTCGCGCCAGGGAGGGGGGTCCAGCGCAGGTCCAAGAAATCCGCGCGGACTGTCGAAAGTATACAGTGGAAAAACCATGCCAAGAAACACACTGCTTACCTCCAGGGTGCCTTTGGTTTCTCGGGTTTCGATGGTTTAGCTCTGGGGAGCGTGACGCTCCCACACAAAAAGTCAGTGGACGTCCTGGGGTCTCAGGGTCGTGTTTCTTGTGGAAGATTTCTTGTGGCCGAGCTCCTGCTGTATGCTTCTACAGTTGTTCTCCTCCTTTGTGCAGTGTGCGTTCGGGCCCTTCCCTTCATCTAGCTCGGAGCTCCTCTTCGTGACCGAGGCTCGCGGCTGCCTGAAAATCCCCTCCGGTCCTTTCGCAGCTCACCGAGCGCGCTCCACTACTCGCAGAGAGCCGACCCGCAAACGTACGACAAAAACCACCGCGTCCTCCTCTCACGCAATGGCTCGCAAATCCCTTGCGGCGGATCCAGGCCATCTGCGACCAGTTGCTCTGCGAGTAGTGGAACGCACTTGTCCATCCATCGGCGTTCCTTGGGGTGGCGCGATCGCCGAGTGCATTCTTGGGGTTTCTAGTGGGGGGCCTCGTGGCCATGGCTGGATTCCCCTCGGGGTCCCAGCGGGTCGGCTCTGAGGCCCAGGTTTCGGGAGGGAAAGAACACAGATACCGATAATCGACCATTCACCGGAAAATGTGAGAAATTACGGGACGTGGGGGGGAAGACGAAACCCAGAAAATATTGGAAAAAAATGGGGCATCCTGAGATTCGTATGTATTTATTCTTGACGTTTCGCGTATCCCCACCAGTGTGCTGGTCGCTCGCTCACTTCGCACGGTCAGCACGAGTTTGGCGCCGGAATGGCGACTCACTCTGCTGTCTTCGCACGTGTAGTTCGTGCCCTTCGGTTCGCTGCTGCGCCTATGTGCGTTTGTCTGCGATTTTAGTTCATTGTGTACTGTGCATGTGCAACTGCGAGCATGCTTGCAGGCGCGGTCGGCTGTCGACAGTGACGGCTGGATTCGCAAATTTACAATGTACCGCGCCGCGGACGTTGTGCCCGCTCCCTGGGCTTCTCCTTGGAGCCGCGAACCCAAAAAAATATCCCCACCAGTGCCCCTGGTCCCCAGACACTGCCACAGCCTGGCCGTGTTTGCAGCTGCCGCCTTGCAATGGTGGGGTGCACCTCCACGTGGATTGCTCATGAGTGGTTCAGCTTTCCTGTTCAACCACCTGAGGTTGCCACTGTTGGCATGCGACACAGGTACGCTGGGCTGCCTGACCAGCCCCACGCTATGCCGTGCTTTGCTCGGGTGGCTCGTTTACCTCTGGCGCCTGCCGCGACAAGGTACTGTTTGTTTGCCTTCCCGGTGGTCTCGCCCCTTGAATGGTTGCACTTCAGCCGCTTGGCACACCTAGCACCTCTTACAGCTCTGCCTTCAGTCCCCGGCGTCCCTCGGCGGCAGTTCCGGCGGCCGTTATCTCGCACGCTTAGGTAATTTGGTTGGGCTCGTAGCCCGGGCTGACTTCGGACGCCGCCTGCGCTTCCGTTTGCGGCCGCGACGAAAAAATGGAAAAATCCCCACCAGCCTTCCCTTGACGCCGCCCGATATTCTCGCCGCGGTCGCGATCAAAATATCCCCACCAATCCATCCAGAAGCGATGCCCATGAGAGCTGACGGGGGGAGAGATGAAGAAACACGCATAGTCAAACAGCGATCGGACAGGCGCAGAACTACACCCTGGGCGAGTGGATTAGCTTCTTGCGCGGATCCCCACATTCCAAACCTATGTTTGCGACATCGTCTTAATATTGGTTCGCCCGCCATACGAGGGGCCGATCGCGCCTGTCGGATTTCCCGGGGCCTCGACTTCGATTGCCAGCGTCAGTGTGGAGTCAAGACTTGCGCCCCGCGAGCGGATTGGAGGATGAGCGCAAGGTGAGTTTTTTAGCTGCGGGGGGGCGCGGGCGTTTGCCGCCGCGCAGGGGCCAGGGGCAATTGGGAAACGCTCCGGGAAATGGAAGGCGGCAGGTAGAGGAAGAACGGGGGAGGTGGAGGGCAAAGCAGCGGGCGGGAATGGGGAACATAGTGACCAGGAGATGCTCTGATAGGGGGGGCGATGTGGGCGGAGGCCGCGGGTGGAATTCCCTCGGGAAGCCGCGGGGCGTTCAGACACCTCCGCCCGGAGGCCGGCAGGGGGTTCAGCGGCCGTTGCCTTCCTGACTCTGCGGGCGGGGCGCGACGACGCACCCGACCTGTACCCCGCCCCTTTCGCTAGGTGTCGGTCTGTGCGTGTTCGCCCCGCGCGAGACATCCAGCACGTTCAGAACTAGCTGGTTTCGCCAGAGACATCCTCACAAAACGGAGCACTTATATAACTACACCTAGCCAGCGGGGCGGGGTGTATGTCGGGTGCCGCCACTCGCGCCCCCAACGTGCACCGCGCCCCGGCCGCTAAGTGGCGTTCTGTACGTGTCCCCGTTTCGCGAAGCATCGGCTGACCGCGCTGCCCATCGCCGAGGCCCTGCCCCCTGGGCCGCTTCCCACCGACATCCCACATCCCCTGGCTCAGCGAACCCAGCCGTGTGCCTGGGGGCCTCGACCTCGCGCGGCCCGCTTCCCTCCCCCGCCTGTGCCCCAGCAGCAAATTCGCGATCCGACCCCCCGCGATTTCGAGTTCTTCTTCGTGCCGGGTTCCCCGTCCGAGGGTGAAGCGCTTGTTCGTGTTTTGATTTTTCTTGCGGCTGCCGCCACGCCTCGCCGTGAAACATGGCGATCGCTTCCACGCTTGGCGCGCAACATCGTCGGCACGACCATCGCCTTCCATCGTAGGTCGTGCGGCGGCGTCCGTCCACCCAGACTGACCGACGCGCCAAATCGAATTATGATTGCCACCCCTGGTCCCCGCAACAAGGTGCAGTTTTGTTGTGTGTAGTTGTATATGTGTTCGAAGCGAGGGAGGCCAGCCTGGACGGCGTGTTGGGGCCTATTGGAGCATATTGGGAGCCATCTTGAGCCAGCTTGGGCTATCTTGAGCCATCTTGGAAGTCATCTTGGGCTCTTTGAGGCCGTTGGTGGCCTCCTGGGTGCCGTTTCGGGTGCCTCTTGGAGGCCTCTTGGGGCCTCTTGGGCCGCTCTTGGAGCCCTCTAGGGGGCCTCTTGGGAGGAGGAGGAGGAGGAGGGAGGAGGAGGAGGGAGGAGGAGGAGGAGGAGGAGGAGGGCGACGAGAAAGAGGGGGAGGAGGAGGAGGACGACGACGACGACGAGGAGGAGGAGGGGGAGGAGGAAGACGAGGAGGAGGGAGGAGGAGGAGGAGGAGGAGGAGGAGGAAGAGAGAGAGGAGGAGGAAGAGGAGGAGGAGGAGGAGGAGGGAGGAACGAGGAGGGAGGAGGAAGGAGGGAGGGGGGGGGGCGCGAAGGAAACGACGTCGGGAGTCTGGGTCCATCACAGCGCGTGGGGATTTCGCTTATCTTGTTCCCCCCCACACACGCTGTCACCCTCCTGTCTCCCCCAGTCGCGCTCCCCCCTCCCTCCTCCACGACTCCCCCCGCTCTCCTCCTCTCTCCCTCCCTCCGGATCCTCTGTCCTGCTCTGCAGGGCTCGTCTAGATTCCGCCGGTTCGATTCGATTCGACTTCGATGGCTTCCGATGCGGATTCGATTCGGTTTGGGACTCTGCTTTGGGTCCCGATTTCTCATTGAAGGCATGCTACCCTGCTGATTCAACTTTTCCCGACTCGGCTGCCGATTTCCGCCGATCCGATAGATTTCGATCGCCGATCAGATCTATCGATTCGATTCTGGGCTCTCCTGCTTGTGCTTCTTCGCCCTCCCCGCCCTCCCTCCTCTCATTTCTCCCACCTCCACTCCATCGTCATCATCGCCTCGCCCCTGCTCTCCCCCTCCTCGTCAACCCCTCCACCCCCCTCGCATCCTCCGCTCCCCCATCATCCTCCCATCTCCCTCGCCCTCACCCTCTGATACCGCCATCCCTCTCCAACCCTCCCCTGCCCCCTTTCCCCCCTTTCCAAGGATTCGCTCCAGCGCGTGGAGAAGCTCATGGAGCACCCGGACTTCACCCTGAAGAACCCAAACCGCCTCCGGAGCGTGGCGACGAGACCCGTTTCTAGTGTCCCAGATTTCATATACACATACGCGCGCGCTCTTACAGATGAAGCCGTTGATGGGCGTCTTGGGTGGCCTGTGCGGAACTGAGGTGTGTCCAGCATGAGTTCGCCGCTCCCTTCGGGAGGAAGGAGAAGGGCCACCCCCTGTGTTCCCTCCGGCCTGCGCCATGATCCTCCGCCTTACCTCCCTCCTCCTCCTCCTCCTCCTCCTCCTCCTCCTCCTTCTCATCCTCATCTTTATCCTCCTCCTCATCTTCCTCCTCCTCCTCCTTCACCTCCGCCTTAATTTATGTTGGCCATACACATCATGGCTGCTGCGTTTCCTCCCTTCCTTCGCCGCCTCCTCATCTTCCTCCTCATCCTCCTCCTCTCTGTATCCTACTGCCTCCCGTCTCCCCCCCTCCATCCTCCTTGTCCCCCTCATTCTCTGGAGTCGGGCTGCTGAGGAGAGATCGAGGAGAGGACTTGAGATGCAGGTGAGATGTTGATGCCTTCTTCCTGTCACGAGAACTTGTCAGGCGCACCCGTTTGGTAGTAAAGTTATTGGGCGGCATGTGTAGCCGTTTTCTATTCATTGGCAGTTATTGCGCAGCCATTTTCACATTGTTCTTGCTCGAAAGTGCACTGATGTGAGTTGTGCGTCTGCACATTTCTTTTGGCTGCGCTATTTTTCGTGTTTGTGACTTTTGCACCTTATGGCATGCACTGGGACATCTGCTGAGGTGAGCATGTTCGTTGGCAATGTGAGCGGCTTCCACAAGGTTGTTCCTGCGCCTCTCTCTCTCTCTCTCTCTCTGGCTAACGCTCCTACGCCCTCCGCCTGCTAATAGAGCTCAGCCTTCTGGCTATCAAGGACATCCAAGCTTGAGTAATTCGATGTTCTTCGCCTGGGACAATTTTTCGCCAAGCACAGAATGTCCTATGGCAGTGTCCTGGTAATTCATTTGCATGTCCCCGCCCAGGGCAGTACGTCTTCAAAAAACATGGTGCATGTATAGTTGGCGTACTTCGTTGACCCTAGAAGTGCGAGCCCCACTAGCAGGCGAGAGAAACCTGCGCGCGCGCAAGAACAGCCTTGTTGCAAGACTGGCAGTAGTCCGTGCTCATTTTGAACAGGACTCGTTGTTGGTGTCGCCGCGGACGTTGTCCATGTGAGACAGAAAGGCCGCCTGCCCAACAGCGGCCGCTGTCGGTTTTGGACAGCACTTGTTGTTGGGCATCGCACCCATGTTTTCCGTACCCGTCCTGGGCGATCAGATGGGACCCACGTCGATCGAAGAAGAACGATTGACCACCCACACGATCCGTCCCTCCCGTCCATCCTCTCCCCTCCCCCCATCCTGCTTCCCACGCCTCGTTCCTTTCTGACCGAAAACGCGACGGGAGGTTTTTGGGCAAGATCTCCGCATCTGGGGGCTCTCACTGGGCCCCTGGGCCGTTCAACAGAAAGTTCGGGATGGAAAGCCCGGCCTCGGGGAATCACTTGGTATCGCTCGGCTGTGTGCATTTTTTTTCTCGGCGGGGACTCTTAGGGAGCATCTGGATCCTCCTGCGAAAAAGCCACGCACGAGACCGAACAAAAACACAGGGAGTGGACGTCCGAGCGACGGGGAGGGAAGGGGTCTGTCCAGGCTCCTGGCGCTCCGCGCTGCGAAGCCTGGGCGCAGGAGGGCCTCCCCCAGTGGCCGCAGAGGGGGAAGACGCGGGCCGCTCGGCAGGAGGTCGGCCAGAGGAGGCATGCGACAAGGGCGAGGGCGCGGCCACGTGCGCTTTCTGTTCAAGTGTCTCTGATAATAGGGGAACAAAAAGTGACATAAAACATAAAATTCTGAGGTCCGCGCGGATTTCTCGGATCGGCGCTGGGGGCCCCCCGGCGGCGCCTCCGGCGCCGCCCCTGGCGCGCTCCGCGCGCCAGGGAGGGGGGTCCAGCGCCGATCCGAGAAATCCGCGCGGACCTCCGAGTTTTTATGTTTATGCCACTTCTTGTTCCCCTAGAGAAAGGAGTCGACGAAGGCCCGCTCCTTGTCACCTCCCCCCCTCGCTCGCCGCCGACGGGGGGCTCCCGATGCCTCCCCATTACTTCCTTACTTCCTCCTCCTCCTCCTCCTCCTCCTCCTCCTCCTCCTCCTCCTCCTGCTCCTCCTCCTCCTCCTCCTCCTCCTCCTCCTCCTCCTCCTCCTCCTCCTCCTCCTCCTCCTCCTCCTCCTCCTCCTCCTACCAGCCGTTTCGGGGCGAGCACGAGGCTCGCTCGTGCGGGTGCATACTTCGAAGCGGCGTGCCCCCGCGGGCCGATGGCGAATGGTGCTGCTGGAGGCGCACGCGGCGCCAGCCAGGGTGGCGACCCCTGGACGTGCAACGCGTGTGCAGCTGGCTACAGCAACATGGCGTGGCGCACGGTGTGCAGGCTCTGCCAGGCGGCGCGGCCGCCGAGAGGTGCTGGCACGATCGGCGACGCCATCGACAAGGCCAAGAAGGTCAAAGCCAAGGGGAAGGAGGCGAAGGCCGTGGCGAAGCGGGTGCGGTTCGCCTCGGATGGGCCTGGCCCGTCCGCCGCCGCGGCCACGCTGGCGCCGTGGGCGCAGGGCGCGGCCAAACAGGCGGCCGTGGAGAAGCCCAGCAGCGGCGGCGGCAAGGACGAGCAGGTCCGCCTGGCCCTCCTCCGTCACTTTGGCCCCACGGACGGCTGGTCGGCGGCCCTGGTCCTGGACTTCGGGGCCCTGGTGCCCGAGGCCGACGTGCCGCCGCCTGCGAAGCACTTGGCCGAGCTGTCTCTCCAGGCCCTCCTGGCCAGGGAGGCGAAGGTCAAGGGCCAGGTCGGCCGTGCCGAGGCCATGCTGGCGGCGACCAAGGAGGAGCGGGAGGCCGCCGCGGCGCGCGTGGCGGAGCAGGAAGGCGTCCTCCAGAAGCGCCGTGACCAGCTGGAGGAGGTGGCCGAGGCGGTGCGCGCCAGGAAGCGCGCCGACCTGGCGCAGCACACAGGCCCGTCGCCCATGGAGGTGGGCGAGCCCGAGGAGACGGGCGACCTGGGCAAGGCGCTGCTCAAGAGCCTCGAGGGCCTCGAGGCGGAGCGGGAGCGGGTGCTGCAACTCGGGGAGGACGGCGACGCCCTGCTCGCGATGGCCGCGGAGGCCCGCTGCCTCGTGGAGAAGCTCGCTGCCGCCGACGCCTGCGCCCGCGAGGCAGCGGCGGCTGAGCGAGCCCGTGCGGCTGCTGCTGCCGCCGAGCGGGCCGCCGCCGCGCAGGAGGCCGCCCCCGCGGCCGCTGGCGAAGTGGGTGGCGCTGCTGGTCCTCCTGGAGACCGCAAGCGCGTCGGTGACCTCGGCCTGGGCCCAGAGCTCGACGGGCTCGATGCCTTGTTCGACGAGGTCGGCATGGAGGACGAGCAGCAGCGGGAGGCCTGGCGCGCAGCGCTGGCCAAGCGCCAGCGAGTGACAGGCCCAGCCTCTGGGTTGCCGCCCGCAGGCGGTGGACGTGGTGAAGCTGGTGTCGGCCAACACCACCGCGTGGGGCTCCGCGCAATCGCTGGTCGAGTGGCTGCACGACGGCGCGGGGCGGCTGCCCGAGGTGCTCTGCCTCCAGGAGCACCGCCTCAAGGGCAAGCAGGCGGTGGCCCGCGCTGCGGGCTGGATGCAGGCGCGCGGCTTCAGCTGGCACGGCCAGGCTGCGATGGCGACGGGCCCTGGGCCGCTGGAGAGCTCAGGAGGTGCGGCCGTGGCCACGCTGCGGCCGTCTGCGGCAGTCGCGACGCCAGGGCTCCCAGCCCATCGGTTCCAGGTGTGCGAGGTGAACCTGGGATTCAGGGAGCCGTGCTGTGTCATCTCGTCTTACTTCGTCACGAAGATAGACAGGGCGAAGGAACACATCGGGCTCATGGCGGCGCTGCACGAGTACGCCGGGCAGCTGGAGTCGCCGTGGCTGGTGATGGGCGACTGGAACATGGAGCCCGAGGACGTCCGTGAGTGGGCACGCAGCGCGGGCGCTGCCCTTGTCGCCCCAGGAGAGCCGACCTGCGGCTCGAAGGTCTTCGACTTCGCTGTCGTCAGCAAGGTCCTCGCGGGCTTCGTGGAGACGGTGGGGGTGCTGCTGCAGGCGCCGACGGGGGGCCACGTGCCGCTGAAGGTGGTGCTCCGTGGCGTGGGGCCAGCGGCGAGGGTGCAGCGGCCGCTGTCCCCTGCCGCCTTCCCGCTGCCGCTTCCGCCGCCAGCGAGGCCAGCGCCGCGCGAGCGTGGGTTCTCGGCCTGGAGCCCAGGAGGTGAGCAGCCGCTCAAGGTCGGCTGCCAGGAGTGGTTTGAGGCGGTGGAGGCCTACCTGATCGACCTCCACGAGATCGTGCCGCCCAGCCGTTGGAGAGGGCGGGCTGACGGGCTGCGCACTCAGAAGATCAAGATGGAGGCGGCCTGGAAGCAGGACCTCAAGAGGAGTGTTGGCGCGGCGCGCAGACGCTGGATGTCGTTTGCGGCGGCGTGCTCCCGCTGGCGCGCGCTGCAGGAGGCGGCGCCAGGAGGTCGCTGCGCGGCGCCGCGGCGCAAGCAGCGTCAGGTGCTGGAGGCGTTCGAGCTCGAGTGGCCTGAGGACGGCCCGCTCGCAGGGCTGTCGGTCGCCCGCGTTGTCGGCCTGCCCAGCACCTCATCGTGCAAGCTGACGGTGCAGTTCGTCCAGGAGGAGGCGAGGCGGCGCTGGATGCAGGACAAGCAGCGGAGGGCTGCTGAGTGGCGCGCCTGGGCCCACGCTGCTGCCACCGAGAGGGGCGGCTCGGCGGCCTACCGCTTCATCAAGCAGGTCACGGCGCTGCCCACGGTGGTGCACGCTGGCGCAGACGGCGACGATGGCCCGCGCATGCTTGTAGCAGGCGAGGCCGCAGTGGCTGCACTGCTGAAGGCGTGGCAGCCCCTCTGGATCAAGCCGTCGCGCGCTGGCGAGGTGGCGCCTGAGGACTGGGACATCCAGGAGTCGGTGCTGCCGCCGCTGGAGCTCGAGGATCTGGAGCGGGCCCTGGGCACCCACCGCGAGGGGTGCGGCCTCGGCTGGGATAGGCTTCACCCGAAGCAGCTGCTGCGCCTCCCGCGGTCTTACAGGGAGCGCTTCCTGGAGCTCCTCCAGGCCTGGGAGCGGAGGCCCACGCGGGAGGCGCTGTGGCAGCTGGTTGTGGTGTTCATCCCCAAGGCGACTGGAGGCCAGCGGCCGATCGGCCTCACGGCCATCTGGCTGAGGGTGCGGAGCAGGATGCGACAGCCGTTGGTGGCCCGCTGGGAGGCCTCGCTGCAGAACCCCGCCTTCTGGGGCACGTCGGAGTGCCCGTGCGAACGCGCAGCAGTGGTGCACAACCTCCTGGCGGCCTTCGCTCGCAGCAGGGGCCTCTCGGCGGCAACTGGAGTCACCGACCTGGCGAAGTTCTACGAGCATGTCAGTCACGAGGAGCTGCGCGTGCAGGCGGTCGCCACGGGCTTCCCGCTCGCGCTGCTGCGGTGCTACTGCGTGTCGTACTGTACGCAGCGGCGCGTGTCGTGGTGCGGCTCAGTCTCCAAGCCGTTCGAGGCGAACGGCACCATTGTGGCGGGATGCAGTGGGGCGGTCGGACTGGCCAAGCTGCTGGCGCATACCCTCTTCGTGAAGATCATGCGTGAGAACCCTGTGGTTCGCCTGCAGAACGTCGTGGACGACGTGCTGCTGCAGGCGGCCGGCGGCGAGGCTCAGGTGGTGCAGCAGCTACCCAGGGCCATGGCTGCCCTCATCGAGGGCCTGGCCGCCAAGGGGCTGGTCATCTCGGAGGCGAAGACGGGCTACCTGGTGAACAGCGAGGACCTGGGCGACGCGCTGGACGGCTGCTGGGCGCACGGGCCGCTGGCCCGCTGGGCAGGCGCCCGCTGCCTGGGAGGTGACGCTACCGACGGGCGCTGGAGGCGCGTGGGCGAGCAGGACGCGCGGCTTGGCCGCGCGGCGGCGGTCAGTGCGCGGGCGCGCCTGCTGCGCGGCGCTGGCGCGCGGGTGGGCCACATCCAGAAGGGGGAGCCCCACTGCCACCGCTGTCTGGGGCCCCGCCGTGACGGGCCTCGCCCGCGGGAAGCTGCACGGCCTGCGGGTCGCCGCCATGCGCGCGGAGGGCAAGCTGCCCATGGGCGCCAGCGTTGGCCTGCGGCTGCGGGCGCAGCAAGGCGCCGCCTACCGAGACCCCTTCGTGGTGCACGCGGTGGAGGTGGCACGCTCCTGGGGCATGACGCTGGAGACGGGCCTGCCCAGTGCCGCGGCGGTGCAGGAGTGCCGGCGCGGGGCGCAAGGCCTGCTGGAGCTGCGCCGCCCCTGGGGGCAGCGCCGCGACCCTGCACAGGCGTGCGCACTGGCGCTGAGGCGGTTCGGCTGCGAGATGGTGGCCTTCAATGCCGTCATCGATTGGAAGGCGCGGGTCTTCTCGTTGGAGTTCTGCTCGCCAGGCATGCTGGTGCAGGTGGTGCGCACGTCGGCGCTGCTGGCCTCGGATGTGCTCGCGCAGCAGCGGCTGCGCGGGCCTGGCGCCTGGGCATGGCCTGTGAACTGGAAGGGGCTGGAGCGCCTCCTCCGCGTGAGCTGCCGCCTCGAGGAGCAGGCCTCCGCTGAGGCCGCCCCTGGCTCTGGCCGCCAGGGGCCCGCGCGGCCGCCGCTGCTCTGGCAGGCCCGTCACAGGCGCGCGCTCGCGGCGGTCATTGGCGGCCCCCACTGGCCGCAGGAGCGGCTCTGGAAGAAGGGCAAGGCGCTCGACGGCCGCTGCCGCTTGTGCGGAGGCAGAGGCACGCTGCGGCACAGGGCCTTCGAGTGCGACGCCTGGCAGCCGCTGCGGAAGGACGCGCGCTCGCCCGAGCTGCTGGAAGGGGCAAGGCTGGTGGCGCAGCGCGGGGATGCCGCGGCGGAGCTCTTCGCGCGTGCGCTCTGCCCCGACCCTGCCCTTGCCTTCCCCGCGGCGGCAGACGCTGCGCTCGCGGCCCCGCGCTGGTTCGGCGCGCCGCCTGGCTCGAAGTTCGCGGGCAGGGTCTTCGTGGATGGCAGCGCCAGGTTCCCCGCGCTGCGAGGGGCACGCCGCGCTGGCTGGGCCGTGGTGCAGATCGGCCTCGGCGGGGAAGTCATCGGCGGGATGCGCGGCATCGCCCCGCGGAGGTACGGACCCGAGCAGGAGGCCAGGGACGGCGAGGACTACGCGTTCCACATGCTGGCCCAGTACTGGCAGGCGTCGGACGACGGCGCGGGCCTCGAGGTCTTCTGCGACTGTTCGGGCACGGTCGGCCTGGCGCTCTCGCGGGGCAAGGCCCTCGCGCCGCTGCAGGCGCGCCGCCACCTGTGGCAGGGGTGGTGGGCGGGGCCTGGCCTGACGGCCACAGTGCGCAAGGTCAAGGCGCACAAGGCGCTCGCCGCGGCGTCCACCTGGGAGGAGGAGCTCATGATCAAGGGCAACAGGGCAGCCGACCTGTGGGCCAAGAGGGGCGCCGCCCTGTGGCCGATCGACGAGGAGCTGGTCTGGTTCCTCCAGGCGTGCGCCTGGCGTGCGGAGGAGCTCGGGCGCTGGATTGGCGAGCTGGCCGCCACCATGGTGGACCACGAGAAGCTGGACTCCGACGGGGCGGTAGGCACGGCCGACCTCGTCTACGACATCCCGCAGGAGGCGCTGGACGCGGCGGAGCAGGCCGACGAGGAGGTGGCGGCGGCGGCGCTCGAGGCCGAGCTCGTGCATGGCCAGGCTCCTGCTGCCGGTGCTGGGGCTGCTGCTGGCGCGGAGCTCGGCCAGCCACCCGACGCCGCCGCCGAGGCCGCCGCCGTCGAGCTCGAGGACGCTGCGGCAGCCGCCCCCGAGCTGCAGGCAGCAGTGGCAGGAGCAGGCGTGGCGCGGGAGGTGCGAGGGCACTGCGTCGTCGTCTCACGCCTGGAGAACGGCGACGGGGCCATGGCCTGGTGCCTGAAGTGTGGCTGCCGCTTCTGGGAGAGGCCCCCTCCTGCAGGGCGAGGCGGCTCCTGACGCGTCTCCAGGAGCCGAAGAGCAAGGCGCGGCTCCTCGCCCCGCAGGCGCCCACGGCCGAGGAGCAGGCGCGGCTCGCGGCGGTGCTCCGAGCAGGCGCTGGCGAGGCAGGCGGCGCTGGGGCCCCCGCTGGGGCCGGGCGGCCGCCGCGCTGGGGGCTGCGGCCAGCCGTGGCGGATGCCTGGCAGGCGGCCGCGCTCCACGGCTTCGCCTCGCCCGCCGCCGCGGCGCGCTGGGCGCAGGCGCGCGTGGAGGCGGGCTGGGAGTCGCCCTTCGGCGACGGTGGCGCGGCGTGACCGCGCTTCGACGGCGCCTGGTTTGGCCCGCGGGCAGGGCGCCAGGGGGCCGAACGGAAAAACAGCCCAAAATGGCCTCCTGCTCCTCCTCCTCCTCCTCCTCCTCCTCCTCCTCCTCCTCCTCCTCCTCCTCCTCCCCCTCCTCCTCCTCCTACCTCCTACCTCCTACCTCCTATCCCTCCTCCTCCTCTCTCTCCTCCTCCTCCTCCTCCTCCTCCTCCTCCTCCTCCTCCTCCTCCTCCTCCTCCTCCTCGATCCTCGGAAGCCCGAGGAAGTCGGCGCCCGGAGTCCGCGCCGTGCGCCCTCCTGGCTTGGCCAGTGCCTCGAGCTGCGCCCAGGCGTGGCGTCGAGAGCCTGCCAGGAAGCCAGAGGAGTGGAGGGGCACGCTACGAGGAGGGGGAAGGACGCGGAGGGGGGGAGGGAGGAGGGGAAGGGAGGAGGACGAGGGAGGGGAGGGACAAGGGCTGTGCTCATCCTCCCCCGCCCCGCTAGCAAAAATACGTCGCCGACGGCTCCGCTTGCGCAGGGGAAGAAGAGAAGGGGGCATGATGGGCCGAGTTTCCACCACCACCACCATAGGTGGGAGGAGGAGGAGGAGGACCTCTCCATCCTCACTTCTCCCCCGTCCTACCTGTGGTAGTGGCGGTGGAAAATCGGTCCATTCCCCGGGAATGGATTGTCATCCTGAGCCCCCAGAGGCAGAAAATGGCCCGTCATGATTTTCGCAGGACCCGAGGGGATTTGGGTCGGACGTGGCTAGGACGAGGATGAATCCGTTCCAGAGCGTTCCGGAACGCTCTCAGAGCGTTCCGGAACGCTTTCAGAAGACTGCGGCGCCCGAGACATTTGCCAGAGCCGCCGAACCTCAGAGATTCTCGATTTATCCTCACCCGAGTTTATCCTCGTCTTGGCTTCTTAGGTTGTGGTCTTCCCGCAAGGCGGACGGCTCTGGCTACGCCTTCATGGCGAAGATGGTCCTGGAGGTCGACAAGATCAACCCGCAGGCAGGCCCCGCAAGAGGGGAGGCAGTCGTAGGAGAAAGTGGTACTGCTACCTTTCCATCGTCGTCACGGCTGGACTCGCCTTCAAATGATGGTCATATTGCACGCAGGCGAGGTACTGGTAGTAATTAGCGGTATCATTATTGTAGTGGCATTCAGCCAGTGCCGTCGATCCGGGTCGTCGGGGGTGCCCCCCAGTTTGGGCGGCGGCGACATTTCGCCGACAGACACGCACGCACACGCTCGCAGGCAGTACGCGCGCACACACACACACACACACACACACGCACGCACGCACGCACGCACACACACACACACACACACACACACACACACACACACGCACACACGCACACACGCATACACGCACACGCACGCACGCACACACACACACACACACACACACAACATACACACACAGACACACACACACACACACACCACATTTACACACGCGCGCCACCTTTGCAGGCACATACACACGCACACGCCTGCAACACACACACACACACACATACACACACTACGCACACCGCACAAACACACGCACACACAATACACACACACAACAGACACGCATTTCACCGCCACCTTCGTCTTCCCCCCATTTATTCTCCGTTTTCCGCGCTTGTCCCGTTCCACTTTCTCTCACTCTTCCACCGATTCCCTTCTCGCGCACACGGACTAACATCACCACACGCACACGCGCACCCCCCCCCCTCCCCTCCTTCCCCGGCAGAGCCAGGCGGGCAAACCCCCCAGCGGCTGAGGCCTCGAGGCTGTAGTGAGGCTCCTTCGAACTCACACGCCACGGAACCCCTTCTTCTCCCCTCCCCCACGCCATCGGAACCCACGCCACCAGAACCCTCCCCCCTCTTCCCCCACTTCTCCGTGTCCACAGGCGGGACGGGGGGCCAGACCCCCCCCACCCACGCCACCAGAACCCACGCCACTGGACCCCTCCCCCTACCCTGGCAGAGCCACCCCGGCCACCGGAAGCCCCCCCCCCTCTTCCCCCAATGTCCCCTTGTCCACAGGCGGGACGGCGGACCGGACCTCCCCCCCCCCCCGCGCCACCGGAACCCACGCCACCAGACCTCCCCCCCCATCCCCCCCCCTCAGTTCACACGCCGGATCGGCGGACGATTGTGTCCCAGCAGTTCGGGGAGAAAGACACAGCGATACAGATGTATACCACCCTCGCCCTCTCCTTTGCGGCCTGGGGGGCGCGCGTGGCCACAGCCGGAGTCGATCCCGCTTCTTCGTCAGAACGCACCTAGTTCAGGAGGGAAAGAAACACACAGACACAATTAATCGTCCCCTCCCAGGAAAATATTGGAAAATATGGGAAGTGTGGGGGAAGACAAAAACCCAGAAAATATAGGAAAATATGCGGAATCCTTTTATTTGCGTGTATTTATTTGTGTGTCCTGGGGCCCCTTCACTAGTGAAAGCTCTGGGGAGCAGCGGTGTCGGTATCGTGATGTTCCATGCGGGGCCCAAGGGAGGCGCGAGGTTCCACTGGCACGGCATGCCTTCACGGGGCGCCCGGGATGGGCGAGGCAGGCACGTCGGCGTTAGAGGTATCGCCGAAGCAGTACTTCCGGTCGCCTCGCCTCCGATGGTCTCGATTGTCCCGTTCGATGGCCTTCCGCATGTGGATGAGAAGAAAAGACAGAAGGAAAAGGAGGAGGAGGAGGTATCTTGGGGCTCTCTCCACTACTTGCTTCGTTTTCTGTTTGCTTTACTATAACTCGCTATAAGGGCACCCGTCCGCGGCATAATTCAGTTTGCTCACTCCGACCAAGTCGGCAATTGTATGGTGTTCTCTTTCTCTCTCTCTCTCTCTCTTTCTCTCTCTGGCTCTCTCTCTCTCTCTTTCTTTCTTTCTCTCTCTCTCTCTCTCTCTCTCTCTCTCCCTCCCTCACTGTCCTGGAGCACAAGAAGCCTGGCCTAACGTCAGAACTTGGGGCTCTCTCGGGGGTCTGCTGGGCCGCTTTGGGGCCCGGCGGCAGGGGCGGCGCAGAGGCATTTCGCCAGAGTGACCTTTGGTGGGGGCCTTCTGGGGTCCCATCGCCGAATGCGAAGCGGCAGCAGCGGCTTGCGCGCCTGGGTTTGGCCCCCCCGCGTCCCCCATTCATCGAAGGAGAAGAACGAAAAAAAAAAAAAACATGAACTTCCGGAGCTCCGCGCGGATTTCTCGGATCCGCGCTGGTGCCCCCCGGCGGCGCCTCCAGCGCTGCCCCTGGCGCGCGGAGCGCGCCATGCGCAGGTCAGAAGTCTGCGCGGACCGCCAAAGGTATGTTTTTGCCGCTTGTATCCTTCCCTCAGCAGCGGCCGCATCGGCGAGCGCGCCTGGGTGTGGCTCCCCCCACTCGCTACCCCCTTCCGCCGCGCACCAAAAAAGGTCACTCGTACCCCCGGGGCCCGCTCTGGCGTGCAGCCGGGAGCGGCCCCCCGAGGGAGGAGCAGGGGGGGGGCGCCCGGGGCAGCGGCGGCGGCCACCCAGGCCCCGATGCCCCCCCCGCGGCGGCCAGCGCGGGCGGCGGCCGAGTATCCCGCCGGGCTCCTGGGCCAAGATCAGCGGTTGATGGGCCTGGTTTCCACCACCACCACCATAAGTTGGAGCGGGAAGGAGGTGGAGGAGGATGAGGAGGAGGAGGGGGGGGAAGAAGAGGAGGAGGCGGATACCCTCGGTCTCCCACTTATATATGGTGGTGGCGGTGGAAAACAGGCCCGCCAGAGGTGGGGGTTTGGATCGCCGCGGTGGTTGTTGAGGGGATGGGTGGGTCAGAAGAAGATGCTCAAGTGGGTTTCCTCTGGCCCAAGTGAGTTTCGTCTGCGCCGACATTGGCGCGTAGATTGCCCACGTAAGGTCGCGCGAAAGCGCTCGTTTACAGTGTGACGTGCCGCGCCAGCGGCCCGCGCAAGCCGCGGCGTAAGGTCGCTATGTCATTTCGCATGAGACCCATTTCGATTCGTCGTTCCGTTCTCGATCCTCGAAATATAATCTTTTACATCGGAAAAGAGTGTGTGTTTGTATATATGACATATATGTGTATATATATATATATATAGAGAGAGAGAGAGAGAGAGAGAGAGAGATGTATATAGATATGTTTGGCGCCGCGCGGTTTTCTTGGATCCGCGCTAGGCCCCCGCGGCGGCGCCTCCCGCGCCGCCCCTGGCGCGTTCCGCGCGCCAAGGAGGGGGGTCCAGCGCAGACCCAAGAAGTCCATGCGGAGCGCCAAATGTTTACGTTCATAGCGATTTTTCTTCTTTTAGACATAGAACCTCAAACCTCGATCCTCCCCTCCCGGGAGTTGGGTGCCGAGCCAGGTGGCGTCGAGGATGGCGCTGGCGTTCTCCACGTGGGCCAAGTTGGACGCGGCGCGGCAGGCCCTACCCTTGGCCGGGCCCCTGTACGAGGAGGAGGAGGAGGAGGAGGAGGAGGAGGAGGAGGAGGAGGAGGAGGAGGAGGAGGACGGAGGAGGAGGAGGAGGAGGAGGAGGAGGAGGAGGAGGAGGAGGAGGAGGAGGAGGAGGAGGAGGAGGAGGAGGAGGAGGAGGAGGAGGAGGAGGAGGAGGAGGAGGAGGAGGAGGGAGGAGGAGGAGGGAGGAGGAGGGAGGAGGAGGAGGGAGGAGGAGGAGGAGGAGGAGGAGGACTTGGTGGAGGAGGAGGAGGAGCTCGAGCTGGCCGCCTGGGCCGGACCCTCCAGGGGGAGGACCCGGAGATCCGACGCTCCGACAGGAAAGGTTGGAGCGGCGGGGTCTGGACCGCTTGCGGCCTCGGGGGGGCATCGCCGGGCCTCGGGACCCTGGCATCGCTCGGACGTGTACATTTTTCCTTCGGCGAGGACCCTTGAGGTGCCGCGAGGACGAAAACGTTAGCCCCAACATAATTTCCTATACGCGTTCGCAACGCAAACGTTCTCATATGTTTAAAAAACTACCTACGAAAAAAATCACCTTGCCGCTGCCACCCAACTTTTTCGCTAGTCGGATTTGGGCCCCGACTGACATGGTTTACTCCAAAACACCTCTCCTATCTAATGAAATGTTGGTGATATCCGCCGTCGATCGATTACCTCCCCAGTCATTTGGCAAAAAAACCACGCACGAAGCCGGAAAAAACACAGGGAATGGACGTCCGAGCGATGGCGAGCGGGGGGGCATCGCCGGGCCTCGGGACGGTCAAGAAACGGCTCGGGGCGAAAAGCTGGCCCCAGGGAAGCCCGGGTGTCTGGGGAGGGAGGAGGGCCCCCGGATCCAGGCGTCGGCCAGACCGTGCCGTCCGGTTGTTCTTCGACGTCCTCTGCCCCTGCCTCTGTGGGCCGCTTCCCGACCCCCCGGGACAAAAAAACAAACTGCTCGGGATGAAGAACAGGTCCCAGGAGAAGGGGTCAATTATCCCGGGGTCGAGTCAATGACCCAAGATCGAGGAGGAGAAGGAGAAGGACTGATGATGGTCCAGGTTCAGGATCGAGGCTCCAGCAGCAGGAGGGGTTAAGAGGACAGAGGAGCGAGGCGTGGTCGGACGGGGCTGGGACGAGGGCAAAGCCGTGCCAGAGCGTTCTGGAGCGCTCTGAGAAGGCCGCGGCGCCCAGGACATCCTCCAGAGCCGCTGGATCTCAGAGATTCTCGATGTGTTCTCCCCCGAACTTGTCCCTTGGCATCGCTCGGACGTGTGCATTTTTCCTTCGGCGAGGACCATCGAGGAGCATCCTTGATCACTTGGCGAAAAAAAAACACGCACGAAAAACACAGGGAATGGACGTCCGAGCGATGGCCAGTGTCCTCGTCCTGGCTGCGTCTTCTGTCGGAGCAGCTCTGTGTTTAACAAGGCGTTCTCCTCGCCACTGCTGGGGCCTGCTCGAAGCTGTCGGCAGAGCACACCCCAGGGCAGGTCCAGAGCTCCATCTGAGGAGGCGGGCCCAGATCTCAAGACTCCTGGCAGAAGCACGGCGGCTGTTGTATGCGTGTGTTTGGCTTGGGGGGCCTTTTTTCGAGGGCACCCTCGAGGGCGCGAAGTTCTTCGCGCTTCGCGGTTCGGTTCCGATTCCTTCTCCTCCTTCCTCTTCTCCCCCGTGGGGCGGCGCGATAGTGCGAAGTTGTTCGTGCTTCGCGCACAGAGGGAAGCGAATTAGGCGCCCTTGCAAAATCACCACGGCCGTTGTTTGCATGCGTTTGGCCTCTGGGGTCGTTGCTGGACTCAGGGACAAACAGACGATCCGGGGTGGAAAACCCGTCCTCGGAAGGGGTCGAGGGCTTTGGACGGGCACGCTTTGATCAAGTCATAACGACGTGTGCGCTAGGCTTGGCATCGCTCGGACGTGTGATTTTTTCTCGGCGAGGACCATCGAAGAGCATCCTGGATCATCGAGCAAGAAAAACACGCACGAACCCGAAAAACGCACAGGGAATGGACGTCCGAGCGACGGCAAGTAGGGGGTTACTGGCGTGGGATTTTTCAGAGGTGATTTGGGGTCCTGGGGGGTGGGAGCTTATGCGGGGACGGGCTGGAGGACGGAGGAGCACCATGACGACGAGGAGGAGGAGGTACCCCATCTCGTTACCCGCACCCTCCTCATTCCGCTTCCATCCTCTCACTCCTCGTAATTCGTTTCCTCCCTATCCCTTATCATCCTGTTCATCGTCCCCCCCTCCACTCTCGCCTCCTCCTCATCATCCTCGCCATCCTTCCGCACTGCTAACTCCACCTCTCTGTCTTCATGCTGTTCCCCCTCCTTCTCCACGAACTCCAACCAAGAATCCCAAGAATGTCCAAGAAAGCCCATGGCATGGGTTTGTCGATGGCGCAGGGGGTGGATCGTTTGCCGTGCCAGGGTGGCTTCCGGGACGTTCAAGATGGGCGTCGTCGAGTGTTGATCTGATCGTATTCGTCGATGGTTTTGTGCTCTTCAGCTTCGCCCTGTCGTTGTTCGTGGTCGCCGCAGTCAAGGTGATGTGTTTCGCCGTGGCGGGAAGCGTACAGACACGTAAGAACCCTTGAGGTGCGGGAGAAATCTCGCTCCTCCTCTTCCCCCGCCCCATCCATCCTCCTGCTCCTTTCAGAAGGACAGGATCTACCCCCTCACCCTTGCCCCGCACACCATGAAATCTTGTTGGTCCTTCAAGGATGCGTACAACCACCTGGAACGTCCTACCCCATCCTGCTTTCGGCGGAGCGAGGGGGGAACTGAGAAAGAGAAGGCCTTCTCAGAAGGCGGTGGGACTTCTCAGGAGCCCTCCGGCCTTCTGAGAGGTTTTCTGCGTCTCCGGGGAATGCTCAGAAAACTTATCAGGAGTCAGGGGGACTTGCGAGCCCTCCGAGAAGGCCTTCTCATTCTCGATTCCCCACCTCGCTCGCCGCCGATACGCCTCCCCGTGTTCCTCCTCACCATCCCCCGCTCCTTTTTCCGTACATCGTCCACACATCTTTCTTCCCACGATTCGACCAGTTGACCAGTTGAACAGTCTTCAACCTGGGACATTATCAGAACTCCGAGGATCACTATCACCCTCTGCTCTTCCTCTTCCTCCATACCCGTCTGTACCACCCGTCTTCCTCCTTCCCATCGCCCTCCCTCCTCCATCGCTCATCGTTCCTCTTTTCCCCTTCCTCCTTCTCCCTCCCCTCGCTCCTCCGTCCTTGTCGTCCTCCCTCCCTACCCCTCCCTCGTCCTCCCACATCCATCCCTATTCCTACTCCTAGGACAAAGGGGATGTTCATTCTCCGTACCCTCCCTGTTTTGTCCTCCATCCTTCTCCTCCGCCCTCACCCGACGACGACCACTAGCGACGAAAATCAGGACCATCGACAAAGACGACGACCTGGTCGACGAAGACGACCTCGTTGTCGACGACGACGACGAATATCGACGGCGACAATTGTGACCAGGACGGGAACGACGACGACCGCGACCACGACGACGACGACGACGACGACGCCGTCCTCGGCCGGCGGCGGCGACCGCCGACGCCGCCGGGAGTTGTCGACGGAGACGTCGCCGTCGACGTCGTCGGCGTCGTCATTGGTCTTCGTCTCTGCCGGTCGCATCGGTGGCGGCGACGATTGGCGACTGCGGCGACGACGTCGCCAGGTGCCAGCGGTGGCCCCAGTGCCTCCTCGACCCGCCTCCCGATCGATCCTCCTCTTCCTCGATCTTCGATCCTCCTGGATTGTCCTAGCCTCCTAGATCCTCCTTGGCGCACAGCTGGCAGGCGCTGGTGAAGGAGCAGCTGGGGATGCTGCAGGGGCACCAGGGAGACCTGTCCAAGGACACCTTCGAGGCTGCGCGGCTCGGGCACGAGGAGGAAGATCGGGGGCAACGCTGGTGGGCAACGGGCTCTGGTGGGAACGCATCGGGGGGCCTATCGCTAAGATGTAGGCGGTGTGTCGCCGATTCCAGCTCGAAGGTTTCACCCACAATGCTCCCCCTCAGCGTAGGATCGAGGATCCACGACTCAAATGAAACGGGTGCTGGAGGTCTTGCGCTCGTGTCGGGCCAGGTCGAGGGGCCAGGGCCGTCAAGAAGCGGCTCAGGATGACGACGACGACCACGACGATGATGACGACTACCAGGATTGATCCACAGATCTGGACGCCGCCAAATCAAAGCGCGACGGCTGGCGTTCAATCTTTCTCCGCCTCGAGAGGCGGTGGTTCAAAAATGGCGTCCTGAAGGATGGGGTCCTAAGGATAAGATGGGATCCAAGGGTGGGTTTACATTGTTCGAGGCCCCCAGAGCCACGGATCTGGGGGTCCAGTTGTGGGGGGGCTGCAGGGCCCCAGCTTTCAAAAACATAGAAAATTGAATATGTCTGTTAGCCAGCGTGGTCCCCCAACAGTGCGTTTCTTGTAATCTACGTCGTGCAATCCACTTCGACTGTCTTGAAGCTGTCCTCTCCACTGCTCGTGCAAACATCCCACCCTCCCACCCGCAACTTGGTCGCAAGACATCTTCAGACAAGACCGTGACGGTAGGTACTGCGTGGCACTTGGCCACGACACCGATGCCGACGACGACAGCGACATCGACGACGACGGCGCCGCCGACAGCGACTGCGACGACACCGACGACGTCTCCAATGTTTTCGACGACGACAACGACGACGACGACACCGACGACGACGACAACGACGCCGACGACGACGACGAAGACGACGACGACGTCGCCAACGGAGACGACGACGAGGGAGGAGAAAAAACGACGACGGCGACAACGACGACAACGACGATGGAGGAGGGAAGACGGCGACGACGCCAACGACGAAGAAGGAGGAAGGACGGCGACGCCGACGACGACAACGACGAGGGAGGAGGGAAGACGACGACGATGACAACGACGACGAAGACGACGACGACGGCGACGAAATAGGAGGGACGACGACGAGACGCCGACGACGGACGACGACGACGAGGGAGGAGGATAACGACGAGGGAGGAGTGAAGACCACGACGACGACGACGACGACGACGGCGACGAAATAGGAGGGACAACGACGAGACGCCGACGAAGACAACGAGGGAGGAAGGACGACCACGGCGACAACGACGACGGAAACGACGACGACGCCAAAGACGACGAGAAAGACAGAAGACGACGACGGCGACGACGACGACGACGACGACGAGGGAGGAGGGAGGACGACGACGACGACGACGACGACGCAAGAGCGCGCGCGCACAATTTTGTTGAAAACCCGTGTTGCGAAACCTTGTGTTTTTGTAGGTTGTTTGGACGCACGATGTCGAAATTCTTCCGCAACCTAAGGTTTTTGAAGGATTTCAGCATACGCCCGCGACGACGCGCGCGTCTGCACTTCGTGTCATTTTTTTGCAGAGGATTCTCGCGACGGCACACGCGCAAGAGCGTTCGACAGATTTCGACATGCGCGCGCGCGAAGCCCGTTTGGTAGCATTTTGTGAAAATCTTGGAAAACCAATGGTTTTCTTAAGATTTCGCAAGAGCTCGCGCGCAAATTTTTTTTTGAATCAGCGTGGCGAAACCATGTGTTTTTATATGTTTTTTGGAAATTCAATTTTGAAATCTCTCCGGAACCGAAGGTTTTTGAAGGATTTCGGCATGCGCGCGCCACGACGCGCGCGCGTGCACTTCGTCCCGTTTTTTGCAAGGGATTCGTGAAAAAGTGCTATGTTAGAACAAAACATGTCACCGCATAGTGCTTTTTACAAGGGAACCGCAGGGGGGGGGAACCCGGCCTGGCTGGGATGGTATCAATTCATATTTAGGATGGACATGTGGTCAGAATCATATGTAATTTGCAGCACGCGCGGGGTAACCGATAAGTCCGGGGGGGGGTAGAATCTATTAGTCTTTTAGAAAGGAGAATATATGTTGAGCTATCTGCGTGGGGCAATATAGGTATATATATATATATATATATATATATATATACGTGGCGCAATATTTGTGGCTTCATTGGTTCTTACAAACGAGTCGACACATCTCATGCTCTTGCAAACGTCCCACCCACCCAGCCGCAACTTGGTTTGCAAAACCCATGCGGCGGCGATTGTGACGAGTGCTTGGCATTGGTTGGTGCGTCTCCGCGGCCGCGCTACCCGCGCCTGCTCGCGCGCGCAGCGGCAAGCTAGTTCGGCGCAACCGACGCGGCCGCGGTGGCGCTGACCGGTGGGCACATCCCAACGGGCATTTCATTGCGAGTCGGCGAATTTGGTGGGCGCGGTATCATGGCAACGTCGACAACAGTAGACACGATGATGGTAGTAGCGGTGCTGGTGAAGATGTTGACAGCGACGACGGCACGGCCAGTGACGGCACCGATGCGCCGATGCTGATCACGCCGGCGATGATAGCGTCCTGTCGGCGATGGGAGTTCGGGAAAAAGTTCGACATGCGCGCGCGGCCGGCGCGCGAGAGTGGCCCGCATTGTAATATTTAACACGGATCGTGCCCCCCCCCCCAGCACGCGCGCAAGGGCTTTCGAATAATTTTGGCATGCGGCGCGAGAGGCCCGTTTGCCATAATGCCATGACAACGTTGCAGGATTCATATTTCCCGTAAAGACTCCAAATCGAGCGCAAGTGTTCTTTGAACATTGATGTCGCGAGACCTATAATTTCATTTGGTGTGGGACACTCGGTTTGGAAATATTTGCGACATGTTTATTGCATGCGAACAATGATTTCGGCATGCGCGCGCGACGACACGCGCGCGCACTTCGCCCACTGTTTGCAAAAAAAAAAAAAAAAAAATGCTTCTATCGGCAGCACGCGCGCAAGGGCGTTCGAACCATTTCGACACGAGCGCGCGCGAAACCTGTCTGGTAGCAGTTGATGAACATGTTGGCAAACCTACGTTTTCCATTTGGATTCGCCACAGCGCGATTGCAATTTGCTTTGGAAGGTGTTTGTTCTTTGAACATTGCATTGTTGTTTTTTGTGTGTTGCGATTTTTACACTTGTTTTGGACACTCGATACCGAATGTCTTCCAGACCCTATGGCTCTCGAAGCTTTCTGGCATGCCCGCGCGACGACGCGCGCGTGCGCACTTCGTCCCATTTGTTGCAAGGGAGCATTGAAAACTGCAGATTGCCGTTAAACGAGTGCGCGCGCATAGTATAATATCATATGCGGTGTGCAATCTACGAGGTGCTATTTATGTTTGTCCGCATTGAGTTGTCAAATCCACTGTGCACGCAATCATCCCACCCGCCCAGCCGCATCTGGTTTGCGAAATCCATGCGGCGGCGATTGCGATGAGTGCTCGGCATTGGCTTGTGCATCTGCGGCAGCGCTGGCCCGCGCATGCTCGCGTGCGTTGCGGCCAGCTAGTTTGGAGCGACCGACGCGGCCGCGGTGGCGGTGACCGCTGGGCGCATCCCGCGGGCATTTCAATGCGAGTCGGCGACTTTGGCGGGCGCGGTATCATGGCAACGTCGGCAACGGTAGACATGATGATGATAGCGGCGCTGGTGACGATGATGGCAGTGGCGATGGCACGGCCACGCCGACGACGATGACGGCGTCTTCGCGTCGGCGATGCAGGTTCCGGACGGGGTTCGACACGCGCGCGCGGCCGACGCTCGATAGCGGCCCGCATGGTATGTTTTTGACACGGTCCCCCACCACCACCACCCCCCCCCCCGGAAAGTTCGCAAGGGCGTTCCAATGATTTTGGATAGCGGCGCGAGAAGCCCGCGCGGCTGAATTCCGTGAACACGTTGAACACCGATATGTTTTTAAGCGTTGGTAAGAGTGCAACCGTCTCGTTTTCTGTCAGGACTAAAACCGAAAGTTGCGACGCCAAGTTTTGTTTATGGTTTCGGGACACACGTTTTTGAAACCCTTGCGAAACCTTTAGGTTGTTGGCGTGTTGCGGCATTCGCGCGCGACGACGCGCGCGCATATGATTTTAGTCCCGTCGTTCTCGCGACAGCACGCGCGCACGGGCGCTCAAACGATTTCGACACGCGCGCGCGAAGTTCGTTTGTTATCACCTTGTGGGACTATTGAAAACGTATGCCCGTAAGAATTCGCAAGAGCGCGGGCGCGAATTTTTCCCAAACGTATATATACATATATATATATATATACACACATATACATATATATATATGTGTGTATATGCATCTTTTTATATATATATATATATATGTATATATATACCTATATATATATATGTATATATATATATATACAAACTGGTTTGCGAAACGTTGTGTTTTCGAATGCTTTTTGGCATCTGAAATCGTCGCGAAACCTAAAATTCTCGAAACCCACATGCTCGCGCGACGACGCGCGCGTGCGCATGTCGCCTTTTTGTGCGGAGAAACTGGATTTTGAATAGTGATGGTGTTAAGCTAGTGTACGCGTTTGGCTGGGATGGCACGAGTTCGTATTAACGATGGACGACGGGGCAGAATCAGATGCAACTTGCAATACGACAAAAAGGGTACGGATAACCCCAGGGAGTGAATCGAATTATTATAAAGAGTGTTGTTCAACCAGTGCTGCGCAATGTATGTAATGTCGTGGTTACAATATACGCGGAGCAAATCTATATGCCGAATATGGAAAAATCAGTTCCAGCGCTCGCGCAATCATTCCACCCACCCCATTGGATTTGCAAAACCTACGCGGCGGCGATTGCGGGGACTGTTTTGCGTTGGCTGGCGCCCCGCTGCGCTGGCGGGCGAAGGTTCGCGCACCGAGTGGCCAGCTGGTTTGGCGCGACGGACGCGGCCGCGGTGGCGCTGACCGCTGGGCATTCACCAGCGTGTTCCCCAGGCCGCGCCGACGCGC